CCTGGCACGGGCACCGTAGCCAGCCCGTGCCCCTTTAAGGGGTCCGGGGCCAGGAGGGGGGCAGAAGAGTTTCCCTGGTGTTGGCCAGAGTGGCCACCAGGGAAACCTGGGGAGGGTTAGCCTCCCACTAGTTCGAATTAAGGGGCTACACACCCCTTAATTCGAACTAGCTAGTTCGAACTAGGCTTAATCCTCATAAAATGAGGTTTACCTAGTTCGAACTAAGCGCTCCGTTAGTTCGAATTAAATTCGAACTAACGGAGCGCTAGTGTAGCGCCTATGAAAGTTAGTTCGAACTAACGTCTGTTAGTTTGAACTAACTTTGTAGTGTAGACATACCCTAGCTAACTAAAGGAACTGGTGGTGTTATATAAAGCTTTTCACTTCAGTTCAAATCCAGCCCACCTATCTATAGAGTCATTCAGTGACTTATAACAGTGTTTCTCAACCAGTGATATGAGTACCCTTGGGGTAATTGAGAAAAGTCTGGGGGATACGTCAACACAACTGAAATTTGGAGAAAACTGAATTTTTGTTTTAAGTTTTACAGTGCTTTATTATTTTTGTACTTTTACACTAAAAAATGTCATTGTCTACCAGGCTACAATTAAGTTGTTTAAACAAATGTGTTGCAATGGTAGAAAAAAATGTTGAGTGTCTGAAAACTAGGTACTAGGGGTACTTATAATTTTTTTAAAGGGGTACTTTATAAAAAAAAAGATTGAGAAACACTGACTTATAAGAAACGAGACTATCATCTTAGTTTAGTTATACTGGACACGTTTCCACATTACATTTGGAATAATTTGCACTCTTGTTGGCAGAGTAAAGAGAAACCAGGGATTTCAGGACAATGGAGACTGCACAGTAGTATCCCCCCACCAGGATAGCATTCCCTGCCAATTAGGTTGGAAAAGCACTGCTATGGCACTGTATAGAAGTCTATTCTGTCAATACATGCGTTTTATTCACTCTGTGGATAAACAGAGAATGTCAGTCTCCAAAAAGGTTCTCACGGCTGCTCTTTTTACAGGTATTAAATTCAGTGGGGATTCCAAGGCTATGTCTAGACTGCAAGCCTCTTTCAAAAGAGGCTTTTTTGAAAGATACTTTTGAAAAAACCTCTCTCGAAAAAGAGTGTCTGAACTACATCCAGTACTTTCGAAAATAAAAGCCACTTTTTGAAAGAGAGCACCCAGGCAGTCTGGATGCTCTCTTTCGAAAAAGCACAGTTTTCATTACATAGAGCCTTTTTTCGAAAGAGAATTTTTGGGAAAAAAAAAAGCATTATTCCTTGTGAAACGAGATTTTCTGCAGTCGTAAAAACTGCCATGTTCTTTCAATTTACTTTCAAAAGAACGCGGCAGCAGTCTAGACGCAGGAGAAGTTTTTTCGAAAAAGGCCACTTTTTTCGAAAAAAACTCTGTAGTCTAGACTCACCCTAAAAGGAATAGAGACGAACACTAGAAAATGCATCACCATCCTGAGAGACAAAGAAATCCCCCAAACAGAGGAACAATTTGTCTAAGGGTATATATAGTGATTTATGGCATCCAAGATGTCTGCCACTGACCGGGAGAGATATAGCTAGGGCACTGAGAAGAGACACAAACTCTTTGCACCCTCCGATCAGGCTGTCTGGCAAAGGTCCCTTGGAAATGTGGGAATTAAAGGTGCTCCCCCCTCAACTGTAATCCATGAGAGAGAGCAACTACAGTCTATTAAGCCATACAGTTTTCTTTAGCCTTTTTCCACAAACATACTGGGAATCGCTAATATTGAATAACATGTGCTACTTTTTTCTTCTGCAGTGATTAGAAATGTTAACATATACAAGCCACCCACAGGGTCCCAACCTCTCTTACAGTAGCGTTGAGCACTCCTTATAGCCTTGACCTCCAGAAAGGCTGTTTATCGTGCAATTTTTCACTCTCCTTGAAAAAATAGCAAATAAACATGCTTACAGATTTTTGTGTGAAAGATGAAAGGGCTGTTGTTTGACAAACAAGGACTTTTTCTTTGCTATTATGGCTTTTCTGCCTTCAGGACAAAGAAAGGTAGAGAAAGGATTTCCTGAATCACAAGATTCACGTGTTCGGTACAGGAGAGTGAGACAGCAGGAGAATGCATAATAAAGGTCCTGAAATCTGAACACAGGAGCCTTTATGTGCAACCCATTGAGCTGAAAGGATTTTGGACTACAGTGTTCATTTAAAAAAAAAAAAACAAGGACAGAGTGTAGAACAAACCAATGCACAGATAGATTAAGATACAGAAACTGTAATAAACAGAAATTTATGTCAATAAATGACAAGCGTGATTGCATAGAAAGTATTATTTTTCAAGAACGCAATCATTATAGGCCATTTATACAAAGGCTTGTAAACTGGTAGTGTGTGTAAAATTTAGCTTTGCTCCTGCACATTTGCTCTTCATTTTCAAAGTAGGTTAGTCTGCCTAAATTGATGCATGCAGATATTTACAAGGTTTTTTCCCCAGGGTGTTGCTATTTTCACTGCTTTATAGACAGGGTTAAGAATATTCACATTTGAAAAAGAAGCATTCGGCCACAAGTGATGAGTTGCATACAATTCAGTTATTGGCACAGGTAATTGCTTAAGGCCATATGGCTCTGCAAGAGAATACCGAGAAAAACCGTTGATATAGTCCAGTCACCCACCTCCCAAAATATGTTGTTTTCAAATACTAATGACCCATTTACTTCTGCAATTGTTGAAGTGAATATGTTAAAAATTAAGCTGCTTGTTGTGTGCCTGAACCAGGACAAATCCTTAGCTTTGTTTTCCTGGCTCTGAGTTATAGACAGATGCAAGTTCATTTGTATAATAATTGTATTAGAAGTTATGTGTACCATATTTTCTATCTGATTTGTTGCATATGTGGGAGGGGTTTTAAAAGTACTGATCTGATTCTGTATATTTGTTCCTCAGACTCCTTTGCTTCAGTTTGTTAGGGTTTTCTGGAATTTGAAGCCTACTTCATCAGTTCCAGTAGTTTCTGACTTACATAAAACTTGTTTCATCTGTAAGCCAAAATAGCTATTTAAGGGAGATAAGGAAAAAAAGTTCTCTCTAAATCCTGTTACAAACATTGTGAATGGACTTTTCTGCATTACCATGTGATGAGATTCCAAATGGTAAATCAAAGAAAGGGTTAGATTGACCTGCAGCCTGTGATGATTAAGAAAAGTACTGTTCTAAATATTAGAGTAGTAAGTGCTTTTTACCTGTGTTGGCAATCTGAGAAATCAAAAATAACCTGGGGGAATACAAGCTTTGTTAAAATTCTGCCTCATGACTGTCTCGCAGACTCTGAACTTGCCTTGATGTATAATGACTCATCGGTATTGGAGAACCATCATTTAGCTGTGGGTTTCAAGTTGCTGCAAGAGGAGAACTGTGACATTTTCCAGAATTTGACCAAAAAACAAAGACAATCGCTGAGGAAAATGGTCATTGACATTGTGAGTTATTTCCCATTTCTAATGCATTCCAACTAGATTAACAAAATAAATCTTAGATAGTTTTCTGATACATTATGTACACTAAAACACATAATGCAAGCAATGCAATGAACACTGCATTATGTATCAAGCATGTATGTTGAGCTCCTTTCAAGTTAAAATGAAAAGCTGGCATGAACAACAGCTTTATGCCATGGGGAACCCTAGTTAAGAAAAATATTTATATAGTCATTTATGTGGATTGTGGTTTCCCTCCATACCTCCTCTATAAAAAACCCCAACAACATAAACCTCTGCCTTTTTGTGATTTGGGCTCTGTCATGTTCAAATATTGAAAAAAATAATTTACTCATTTTAGTTGATAATGTTTTGTCTTTGCCTTCAAGGTCCTTGCAACAGACATGTCTAAACATATGAATCTGTTGGCTGATTTGAAAACTATGGTTGAAACCAAGAAAGTGACAAGTTCTGGGGTTCTACTTCTTGATAACTATTCAGACAGAATTCAGGTAAGACCATCCATGCTAAAAATGGTCATTTGCCTTCATTTACTAGTTTCCCCAGTCCTACATTCTCAACTCATAACACTCTCCCTTTCCTTTCAAACATGTCTGTTAATTAGCCACAAGTGCCATGTTTGCATTCAGTAGCACATTATGTTGTGCATTGACCAGTGATTTGGTTGAGCTTTAAAGTAGGAAAATATTTTTTCAGTGTTTAATTTGCTGTGGCCTGACCTCTAAGCATCTTTGAACCTGATCAGTCTTGCACTTAAACATTTTCTATTTCTCAATATAGACAGAAGGTGTAAACGTGAGATAATTTGTGGCTATTAATGCAAGTGTGGAAAACACACATAGTCACATTCCATTTCTGCTATACAGAATAAATGCTTCACTACCTGTATTTTCAAGATTCTGTTTCACAGCCACCAAATGTGTAAATGGAAAAAAAGAGCTTTTCATCTCTAGTGTTAATAACACAGGAGGTGCTCAGTAGATAATATATATTTGTCCATTTTAGGTTCTACAAAATATGGTGCACTGTGCAGATCTAAGCAATCCAACCAAACCACTTCAGCTCTACCGCCAGTGGACCGATAGAATAATGGTGTGATAAGCACAATGCATCTGTAGAGAAATCACAGGTAATGCATTTGAAATAAGAATGAGATAAGCAATTGATAAGAATCAATAAGCAATTGATTCTAATAAACTTGGATTTTAGCCACTTGCTTTGTTTTATATGCATTGGTTTCTGCATGTATGTTGTTGGATTTTTTTCCCCTTTAATTAATGCAGCTTTTAAGAGGAGTTGAGATTTTCTGCTATTAAAAATAGCTGCGTATAGGCTAAAGAACTCCATCATGGCACTGTTCTGTAATGTGGGATGTGCTATAAGGAGGAGTATGGTGCATTGTTTCCTTAAACTTCCCATTAAACACACAATAGTATATAAAATAGCTGATTAGCTCAAGAGAGAGGATTGAGTTGCTGGGAATTGCATTTAAAAATAAACCTTTTCCAATATCCATTTCCCATTCATACAAAATAGAAAGCTAATGAGTCTGCTACAAAAGCTGTTGAGTATGCTACAAAAACCCATTGTCCTCGTATACTAGCATGGCTTCTTTTCAGGTTTCTTACACATATGATAACCAGTGTGTCTATGTCTGGTAACAGTGCACTCAGACATTTTATTCCGTTCATTTGGCAAGGAATTAACATTAGGAGCCACTGTCCTAGCATTTCTGTTTTGTTTTATAACCTAAATGCGTGGTTTTTTTCTTGTGAATAAGATATTCATCCTAATTTTGTCTTGTGACATTGCTTGGAACAGGTGGGGTTTATAGACTACATTGTTCATCCTCTCTGGGAGACGTGGGCAGATCTTGTTCACCCTGATGCCCAGGATATTTTGGACACCCTGGAGGACAATCGTGAATGGTACCAGAGCACAATCCCTCAGAGCCCTTCTCCTGCTCCTGATGACCAGGAAGAGGGTCGGCAGGGCCAAACTGAAAAATTCCAGTTTGAACTGACGTTGGAGGAAGATGGTGAATCAGACACTGAAAAGGACAGTGGAAGTCAAGTGGAAGAAGATACCAGCTGCAGTGATTCCAAGACTCTTTGTACCCAAGACTCAGAATCCACTGAAATTCCTCTTGATGAGCAAGTAGGTGAAGAAGTGGAAGAGGAGAGCCACACAGAACCTTGCATACTAGAGGAAGATCATTCTCCTGACACGTAACAGTGTGAAGACTCAGTTTCTTTATCTCTGTCTCTGTCTCTCTTTTTTTAATTAGAAAATTGTTTCCAAAGTGCATGTCATATGCCACAACCATGGTTGCAGCTCACTGTCACCTGCCAGGATGTTTGTTGATCAAAACTGACCTTTATTACTAAGTTTGGCACTCAGGAATATTGTAACCAGAATTTCACCTCCATGGCATCAGAGAGCAAAGGGGAAAACATCCATGAACTGCATTTTAATAAGATATCCACTTGGCAGATTTGATTATAGAAATCAGGTCTCTAAAGTGGTTTCAGAGGAGTACAGCCTATCAACAAAAGGCTGGTATCCATTGGGTGTTTTGTGTAATTTTTTATTTCACAAGCAAAGCATTGAGTAACATTTACCATCCGAGTTTTAAGAAAACAGCCAGAGAATGAACTGAGGTTTCTAATGGAAAACAGATGCCTATGAATAATGGGACACAACATGAATCTGTTACCTATAGGAAGATGAGCTGTGGAAATTGCATAATTTTCTAATTTCAAGTCTTCCTAATATATGACTGAAAAAAATAAAGTGTGGCCAAGTGGGTTGCACTGACCTCTGCATTTTGTATTATATGTAAAACAGAGATCTTTTGTAGAGCTTACTTTTATTATTAAATGTATTGAGGTATTCTATTTAAAGAAAAAAACACCTTTAGAACTTCATCTGCCGCTGGTTATTTTTTTCCAAAGAGTAACTTGCAAGTTTTCAGTACAGATCTGTGCAACACTGGATAATACTTCTAGTTATCTAGTTATAGAATTTATTTTATTTTTGTTTTGCACGTTAGATTTTTATAGTGTTGATTTGAGCTGTAAAAATCCGTTGTTTTATATACCAATGACTTCCATGAAATACTTTTGGTTATGCTGCAGGAAAAACTTTCAGTGGGACGGAATTCATTTTTGTATATTTTTATTATAATTTTCTCAAACAAACAACAGAAGTCTGCATTGTGCTTTTGTCTTCACAGTGGAGCTGACCCTGTAACCCCTCCCATACTTACACAGGTAGTTCCACTGAAACCCATGGGACCACTCATGTGGGAGTGGGCCTAGTATGAAAAAGTGATGAACCATCTCTTTATACGAACATAACATTTATCTTTAATAAAATTAGTCCCGTTACAATATCACTCTGAGGCTGGGAACTGGAGATTATTAAATAAGAACAACCTAATTAAACATATAGAATATTTGCTGTGGCAAAAGAGTAGAGTCTTTCCTATTTTGTTTCCCTTAAAACGCGGGGGGTGGGGAGTTCAGACATTTGGGCAGTAATTTCTGTTTAGTGGGCACATGGCTCATCCCAGAAGTGTGCATGTGTCTTTAAAAATAACAATTAGCATATTTTTCAGAACTCCTTTAAAAAAAAGTAAGCCAATAATTCTTGGAAAGGTTTGGATTTACCACATTATTTCACAATTTCAACATGTTTTTCCTCCTTTTTTCCATGTTGTGCTGAAAGGATCCTACTTTAAATCTGATCCCTACCTCTGTCTTCTGTAGTTTAGAAGGAAAAAGAGGGTTATAGTGTCATGCTTGTCATTAAACAGTTCTACTGACAGGTCATGTGTCATGGGGGAATTAATCTCTTATGGTTGACTCTTTATTAAGACTAATTTTGATGAGTGAGTTTGGAAAACAACTACTGTAGATTCTTTCTGTGACAAATTCTGGTCAAATGACAAGGCATAATTGCTTTTTGAAAAGATGAAATGGAAATGGCACTTATTTCCTTTGCTTGAGTTCCAAGTTGAACCAGAGAATGTATAGGAAATGAATAAGGGGTTATACCACTGTCAAAGACCTAGGATAACCCCCTCCCAATTAAAAAAAGTTGGGTAATGGTTTAGCTTTCAAATGCATTTAGCATTTTTCTGTCTCCAGGTCATAGTTTTACCTGCCTTTAGCCCTGAAAGGGCTTTATCTACGAAGATACCAAAGGCAGAAAGTAAATGGAGATATCTCTGCCATGCTGATAGGAGCTTCAGGCTCTTTTCTTTCCCTCGCCATCTGCCCCGTGAAGCACACTCCCATCCAAAAATCCTTTCAATCCCCAAGAGTGCCTATAATCTTAATAATGAAAAAAGCAATATAAATTCCAAAAATCAATATGGACCTGAAAGGGTTTTACATCTGCACTAATTGAAAACAAAAAGGCTTAAAGAAAATACCACCACATTGTGAAATATACACCCATACACATGGACAATCAAGTAGTAGAAAAAGACATGATTTCTTAGAGCCAGGGATCTAATGCACTGTACAATCTTTTTTTTCTTTTTCTTTGCCAAAGTGTGTTTTAGCATTGCACACTGCTTTAACAACAATACAATTTACAAGTGGCTTTACATGTTCTAAATATTTTTGCCATAAGTAAATGCAATGAGTTGGGTACTGAATGGGAATACAAGAAAAACCTGCATTTGCTTGTAACAGTACATTTTAGCTTGCAAGTTACTGTACTCAGTAATGCTGTATTTGTTATTTTTAGGGGGGGTTGCGTCATTCTTAAAATTTATGAGCAAATACAGGTAGAACAAATTGCATTCAAAGTTTTTAAACAAAAATTGAATGAAATGGATTTTACAGGAAGATTTGACAATTCTTTTAAAATGCATTATTTATTTTATTTTGTGCCATGCATTTTTCTCACCAAATGACCTTACCTGTAATACAGTCTTGTTTGTCTCTGTTTACAACCATGTATTTATTGTAATGTACATACTGTAATGTTAATTGTAAATTATCAGTTTATTATAACATCATCCTTTATAGGTTGGTGTTGCTATATTTGGAAACTCTTGGTGAGAGAATGAATATTATGTATACATATTCCTTGTACATTTTTTCTCCTGTAATATATTCTGTGTCACCTTAGAGCTTGTTTATGGAAGATTCGAGAAAAACTATAAAATACATAAAGATATATAAATTTAAAAGCTGCAGGTCTTTGGTCCCAGGGCTGTGCCTTAACTTTGAACAATATTTTCTTCTGTTCTGCTGCATTTGAAAGTAAGGTAGTTGTGGGACTAGGGCTGGGCATTCCTACAATACTTTTAGTAGTTAATGCTTTGAGTCACCGGCATACACTAATATGTACAATACTACAACCTGTTTTCATTCATGACCACATTTGAAAGTCAAGCTTTTCTATACCTACAGTTGTGTAATTGCGATGTCTACCTGATTGTTTTCTTTCCACTTTTAAAGGCTATAATCAGGGATTACTTCAGCCATTACCTGTTCATTTTTTGAAGTTAACACAATAATTTGAAACAATACTGCACAAATAGACATTGAACAGTTCTAATAACTCATTTGGTTCTTAGGCACATAGGAAAATTAATCAGACTTCATATGCATTATTTTGGCAATGGTCCTTCATGCTCCTTCCTTATTTAGCTGTACAGGAAGTATATTATACTACTGTATAACCATAAGAGTAGGGCAAAAGATAACTTGAAACCTTGGAAATGCTTTCCAACACTAATATTAGTGTTATAAGCAGCCAAAGTTTTCCTATTTGTAGATGTACCTAAGGCTTTTGTACATGTGTGCATAATGTAGATGCACTAGGTGTAAAGGATGTCTGTAACCCTTTAAATAACACTAGTATTAGTTTTGCAGAATTGGACTCTTCTTAGCATGTCACTGAAACACCACAGTTGCTGTAGGCCAGTTAGGACTCCTGATAGCAATTAAGTTGCTAGTGTAAGAGACATACCTCTTTTCCATTCCATTGATGCCCAGCCCTTGTAGCATGTGACTGTTCAGTGAAAGGAGAGATTCTTTTTCAAGGAAAAACAGAGCCTCCTTTTTGACACAAACTGTAGATTTTAGCAGCCCTGGCCCAAAGGAATTTGATTGCTTTTGTTTTAAACAGTATAAAAGGGACATTATAATAACTGAAATCCTGAACAATTTTTTGTTTTAATTTGGTTTTCTTTTGGGTAAGTCTTTAGACTGGCAACTTGTGTGAACATGGCAAATGATTAGTCTTTCTATGATTTCTTAGTCTCTCTTACAGCCTATGGAGTAGTACTGTACATCAATATCTTCATATGAATTTTTATATGCAATGGAAATAAAAGCATGGGTTGATTCTGCCTAGATCCTGTACTGGACTTTTTTGCAAATAAAGTTTATTGTACACAGCAAGTGCCATCAATAACAACACTTTTTAAAATATAACTGAATGCAATAGGACTTAGATTAGTACACTTCCATGACCATATGATATACCATGTAACAAGTAAATTAGGAAAGGGTCAATTAAGCAAAGAGTTTATCCCAACAAACAGCATTGAAGAAAGGGTCTAATCCAGTAAGGTGCTAAACACTTCACAAAATAAAGCTTGTTCTTGATTCCATTGAAGATCATTGCAATTGCCACTGCCTTTAGTGGGAGTAGGAACAAGTCCAGAGAAAGAAAGGGCTTATCTTTAAAAGATCTGACACACTGAGTTTCCTTGGTGGAGCAATAAATTGAGATAGCAGAAAGGAAGAGGAGTTTCTCTAGCAAAATATTTACAAGACAACTCCTTGTCTAAATGGATGATATCACACTGGTTATTAAAGTACTGATAAAAAAAAACAATGCTTACTCTACTCAAGAAGAAATTTATAGATTTCAAGGCCAGGTGGACCCATTACTGTCATGGTCTGACCTCCTGTATAACACAGGCCATTGAACGTCTCCAGAATAAAGCATAGTTGGGGAGTGGGAGAATCCAACCTCCTTTTAAAACTTGTCACTAGTTCAGAATCTGTTGCTGCCCTTTGGTACATTTTTCCAATGGTTAAATTGCCCTCACTGTTAAAAAAATATACCTTACTTCAGATGGAACTTGTCTGGCTTCAATACAGGCAGTCCCCGACTTACGCGGATCCGACTTACATCGGATCCACACTTACGAACGAAGCTTTTCTCGCCCCTGAGCTCACGGGTGGCGGGTCGCCACCCGTGTCCTCCAGGGCGAGAAAAGCTTCTCCCGGTCTCCCTGGTCTGCTGGGGGGGTCCAGCAAAGCCGATGGACCCCCCCCCCAGCAGACCAGGGACACCCGAGCAAAGCCGCCCAGGCGGTGGGAGTCCCGCTGCCTGGGCGGCTTTGCTCGTTTGCCCCGGAGCAAAGCCGCCCAGGCAGCGGGATTCCCGCCGCCTGGGTGGCTTTGCTCCTGTCCCCCTGGTCTGCTGGGGGGGTCCAGCAAA